CATGACGCGCGGTTGGCTGGACCTAGGTTTTGAAAGCAAAATAGCAGCAGACGAGGCTGCAGCGGTGCGCGTAGTGGTCAACCTCCCCAAAGGGCAACAGGTCATCAAAACTAAATGCACCAGATGGACAAATTAAACCAAATTTTCCTCACATTTAACTTTTTGCCTACTACGTTAAACGTGACATTTTGGAGCAACACCTGAAAGATGGTCTTGCTATATACGGCGAAATACAATCTTTCAAAATGCAACGTTTCACGCTGATGCCACACCTGTGCACCGGCAAAGCCATCGCAGTTCTGACCCCAACTGAGGAGATTGTGAAGGACCTAACCCAGATCCCGCACTCCATCTTTATTGACATCACAGGGCACACCACCCACCCATTCCGGGTAACCGTGGACAGCGCGCCCCCCATTTGCACCCACTGTGACACGTTCAGCCATAAGGCACACACGTGCCCCATCAAAGAGGGCGTTACATTCCAAGAGCACCCCTTGGCGGCCATGGCCAGCGGAGAGGCGCACTATGAACCAACCGCAAGCACCAAGGAGGCTTTCCCGTGGGGAGCACAAGGCTGCTACCTATTGGTAAAGCCCATCTCCCCGCAGGAGTGGAAGAAGGCCAAGCAGGCCCATAGGACCGCGGCCAAGGAAGCGGCCAAGGTCACCACCACCATCCCACACTCACAACGCCAGGAGGACATGGAGACCTTCGCGGCAGAAGCAACTTGGGAATCTATCACCCAATCAGATTGGGAGGCCCATGCCGAATGGGCCACTCAATCTGAGGATCTGAAAGGAAATTCGATCTCACCCAATCGCTGCACCCAAGCCCCAGTTGAAACCGACTTGGGACCTATCCCAACCAAAAAAAATTTTTTTGCCTCACTCGACGGTGCACCAAACTTATCCGCACTGCAAAAAATTCATCCGACGTCAGGAAAACAAAAAGTGAAGGCCAAAGCCAACGTGACTCTTTCCGCAAAAATTAACAAAAACCCCAATAGCGTTGCTGCTAATACCCGCGCTGCTGTGAAAGCCCGTGGGGACCTGGAAGAGGCTGGTGGGCCAGGGGGCCCACCCCCTCGCACCTAAGGTGCAATGGGGGAAACCTTCACTCTAGGGATGCTGAATATCGCCAGACTCATGGCCTCCCTATCCCGGGATAGAAAACTGAGTTTTTTACAAAACAATTTACCCGTGGATATCCTGGCCATCCAGGAAACCCACTGTCCATGAGGTTCTGAAGAAGCTTGGAAAACAATGCTCCTACCATCCCTATCCTTTTGGTCGAAGCACTGTGGGGTGCTAATTTGGAAAAACAATTTTTTCAAATTTACATCTTCAGAAACATTCCTAAATGACTGAGTGCTCATTGTCACCTTCTCATGGGCTGATATTGCACACACAATTGTCAACATTTACGCCCCAAACGGTGCACAAGAGCATCGGGAATTTTTCTCATCGGTCAAATCCCTCCCGCTACCCCCAATTCTTTCCTAATTGGAGACATGAACTGTTGGCTAACCTCACCAACGGACCAGTGGCCACCCTCACCCCACGCCCCACAGGGTCACGTAGAACTATGTGTTCTAAAAGCCACCCTTGGGTTAATGGACGCGCTGCCATGACATGCCCCACTGCTCGAAAACATGATGCATCCCCACATCCACAATAGCCAATTAAGGTCCATGACCCGCATTGACCTTATTCTAGCGCTGGCGAAATTCCAACCCCACATCTCCCACTTCAAAACAATGAAAATAGAATTCTCTGACCACCGACTGGTCTTGATAACATACCACTTACCCGTCACAGTTGCAAAGGCCCCACATTGGTGCAAAATCCGCCCTCCAGAGCTCGCGTCGCCAGGATTTTCCATGTGGGTGGAAGAGGCAACTTTGGCAAAGTCGTATGTTGCCTGTTTTGCTTGGACCCCATTTCCACATGGGCAACTTTCAAAGAAGACACCATCCGCCACTATCGCCATCTCTCATCCAGACGCTCACAAGCCACATCGGCGGTTATATCGCGTGCGCTGGCAGAATTGGCCCACTTGGAGTCCAACATTCCAGCCTCAGGATATAGCCCTGCATGGGGCCAGAAGTGGGCGGAGGCAGCAGCCCACCTCAACGCACTTGAAAGGCAACACAAACATCAGGTTTGTGTCCAATACAGGGCCACACGCATCACTAAAGGTGACAAGTGCACCACATACTTCTTCAAAAAAATTTTGCACCACGCCAGAGCGTGGCCTGCACACAGGTGCAAAGATCGGATAATTCTATTGTGGACACACCGGCTGAAGTGGCAATCAAAATGCAAAGATATTACTCTGAGTTATACCGAGCTGAACCAATTCAGCCAGCTGAAATGGCGGAATTTCTTGACAAAGCTCATATCCGCACCATTTTCTGATACCCGGAAATAATGAATTTAATTACTCCGAACAAATTATGGACTACCATTCGCGGTGCGCCAAACTGAAAATGCCCAGGCTCAGATGGCATTCCATATGAGTTCTACAAAAAATATTTTAAATATATATCCCCATTGCTGCTAGCCTCACTCAACCAAAGCCTGTTGGAAATGCGCCTCCTACCAGGAGGACATGAGGCTTTTACAGTCACACTCTTCAAGAAAGGGGATAGGCTAGACTTAGCCAACTGGCGCCCCATTTCTCTAACAAACACAGACACCAAAATTTTAACAAAAATCATGGCTAACCGTTTAGAGACTGTAGCATCTGCCACCATCTCTCCAGAACAATTTGGTTTCATCCCCAGAAGGTCGATTTGGGATAACGTGCACTCTGTGGCTAATGTGTGTCAGTCCACAGCCTCTGGGGCACTTGTATTCTTGGACTAACAAAAGGCCTATGATAGAGTAAACTGGGGATACCTTAGGGCCTGCCTCCAACAATTCCGCCTACCTCCCCGCTTCATTAACTGGGTGATGCTGCTCACGGAATCTGCAACAATGGCAGTGCGCGGCCCAGGTTTCCTAACGGAAGTAGTCCGTCCTCAAAGGGGCCTGCGACAAGGGGACCCCTGAGCCCACTCTTATACAACTTCAGCCTTGACCCACTACTGCGAAATGTGAATGCCCAACTCACTGGGGTCCATGTGCCAGGCCAAACCCCAGTCAAGATGATGGCATTTGCAGATGATTGCGTGGTGGGGGTGTCTAATAACAAAGATGCACGCGCGCTTGAAGCCCTCATCCAGGAATATTCTCGGGTAAGCAACGCGGCACTGAACGCCTCCAAAACTGAAATCATCCTCCTTGGTCGGATTCAGAACTGCTGGGCCCCAGCAAGTAGTTCCCAACCCGGCCCATCTGCTCGCCCACGTCCACGCCTTACTAACTCAAAACACACCGCTCCACTGGTGCTCCCCTTGTGCCACGACCTACCATAGGACCAGTACGCCATCTGGGCGTGTGGTTGGAGGCAGGTGGATACGCGTCAGCAGTAATGGAGTGCCATATACTGGACAACGTGACGAAGCAAATCGCCTCTCTCAGAGCCCACCCTACTACCCTCACTGGCAGGGTTGTTCTTGCCAACTCTATGCTCCTATCCAAAGTCTGGTTCAGAGCCCACGCCATCCCCTTCTCCCCAAGCTTCTTCAAATCCCTGTATGCTTTGCTACAAGGTTGGCTTTGGTCAGGCCGCCCTCCACCAGTATGGCTAGAGGTCATGTTTGGCCCTCATCATCATGGTGGCATGGGCCTACTTGACTTCAAAGCCCATGCCGCCAAGATCCTGAGCACCTGGATTGCGGCCGTCACTGCTCCTACACTCCCATCCCAACACTGGTCCCGCGCGGCCTGCTCCAACTTCTCCCGAGCCTTGGGCCTCAACAATCCATCAAACCCCCACTCCCTGATGAAATACCTCGCATCACACACATCAGCCACAGGTCCTCACGGGACCAAAACCCACTACAAACGAATCCTACTCTCCATGCGAAGCGCAGAGTGGAGAATTTGTATTAGTGGACATACAACCCAAAGAGGCCGCCCTCTCTCAGTTCACACAAAAGGTACAGGGGCTACCCATCCATGATGGCGTGATCCCCATTCGACCCCAAGTCCTATCCAGGGTGGACCACCTGGACATGATGGACATCCCTTATTCCACTGAGACCCAAAAGACTATCTGGAAATACGCACACCATCCTCTGTTGCAGCCTCAAGTCCGCTCCCATGTGTGGCGCTGCCTGAGGCGGGTGTATCATACAGCTGAGCGCTCTAATGCTTTACACTCATCCTGTGTCGTGTGTGGCCAGTATGGAACGCTGTTTCACCGCCTGGAGAAGTGCCCCACCTCTAAAGTAATATGGCGCGAAGTCCAACGTCTGCTAGGCCAGGATCAAACACATCCCTTCAGTCTATCAAGAGATATGTTTGCTTCATCAATGGCCTCCCCTCCCACCCTCCCTCCATGCTCTGGTGGTTGCAATCGCCATGTGGACTATCCACACGATTGTCTTAGATGCCATCGCTGGCTCCATCCCCACCCTCCCTGAAGCTGTCCACAGATTCCGGTCTCATCTGGTGGACCACTTTCAAGTGTGGATGTTTGGATATCTCCTACCGCGTCGCCGACAGCTGGTCTCCTCCTGGTTCCCAGTCTGGTTCATCAAATCAGACCCCTTCCTCCACACATGCTCAATAGTGGCTACGCCCCCTACACACGTTCCCTCCCCCTTCCCATAAAGTGGCGTTCCCGCTGGCAACAAGAGATAGCATCGCTTCTCTGGGGTGCCTTTCCTGGTACTAAGTTTTGTCTCATCTGAGTCATATTTGGAAGTGTCCGTCCCATGGTCAGCCTTCCCCGCAATAAATTCAAATTTAAATGATATGAAGGGAGTGAGGAAACAAATTATTGCCCTAGACAGAATGGATTCTTAAACCAATAATGCCTTTCAGTACCCCACCTTACCTTTCTTACCATTATTATAGCTGTTGTAAAATTTCTATTAGAAATTTTAGGGTCCTGTGGCGCAATAGATAAGGCATGAGTCTTTGGAACTTAAGATTCTAGGTTTGATTCCTGGCAGGTTCAGCAATAATCTATTTTAATAAATTTTATGAACATTTTTAAGCTTAAAAACCATCTAGCTTTAAAAAACAGACTCAGAAATCAAAATTATCAAATTAAGTATTTCTGATTTTGTCAGTATACAGTATAGCTAATTACTTAACATGAAAAAAAATAGAGAGTAAATTCCTGAATGAAAAGTTTATGTCTCTCTTAGCATGATCAAATAATACTAAATTTTTCTTAGTGTTACCTAATTTTAATCTTTAACCTAAAATTCTAAGTGTTAAACTATCAAAATCTTTGAGTTTAAATTACACACACTATAGATCCTAACAAAGCTAGTCCATGATTTCATTATTTTGTAAGGTTAGTGTACAGTTTATATTAGGGTGAAATAATATAAAATATATGTTCTTGGAAGATATTTTTATGTGTATAACTAAAAGCAATTTGTGATAAAATGGTATCCTTGATAACCTAAGTTGACAAATACCTAACACTTAGTTAACATCATACTAGAGAATAAACCAAGACATTACATTCTTTCTATTTTATAGAATTAATTCTATTAATCTAATTAAACCAGCCACCTACTTAATAAAACATATTCATTGATATAATGACTGACTGATTAACTGACATTGAAACCTTTGAGTCTGATAGGTATAATCTACTTGGGCAAGTGGGTGAGAATTTCCAAATATTAGCTAATAATTTTTATAAATTGCTCTCCTGAAACTAATTGAGTCTGATATGTTCATCAATTTGGGCAAGTGGGTAAAAATTGGAAAATATTTCCAAATAGTTCACCAAATTGCTCACCCAAAATTAAATAAAAATTAGTATTAGGGTTTTAAGTAGATTAAGTAAAGAGGATAATCAGATCACCAGCCATAAGGGCAACAGTGAAGCTGTTAGCCTGAGTGGCTCAAGAGTAGTGCTAGCACAGCTTATAGTCTATGTCAGTGTGAGCTTATCATCTGATAAACTTTAAATACTTTAGCAAAGCACAAGAATCTAGATGTTATATTATACAATTTTAAAAAATCTGCTTAATTTGGTTCCCCTAATTAATGCCTACTTTTGGCAAGTTAAGTAGAAGTTGATTTAGTAGTTTGGAAAACATATCACATACACAATGATTTTAAATATAGAGATATGTTTTGGGAAGCAGTTTGGTGTTTTTTGTTGATTAAATAGGTTTGTTTTGTTTTTTGCCAAGGGCTAATGGCTTTTGGTCAGGTTGGTAGGATACAGTATAGTTTAAAGGGGTAATTAGTTATTGGTTAATTTGATAAATTCAGTTAGGTTTAGCTGAGTAGTTGGTGGTTTTTGATCAAATTGATTGAGCGATTAGATTTGGATGAGTGGTTATTTTTTCCTTATAATTTAATATAAATTAATAAATTTTAGTATTTGAAACTCTATAGGCACCATAACAAAGCATGAGTAATGAATTCTAGTAGAACATAAATTCAAATCATGACTATTTACCAAATATTTAGAAAATATATATAGAGAGAGACATACTAGTAATTCCTTTCTATTTTCTAAAAGATTTTGGATAAAAAACCTACATCTATATGAAGATGGACATTTAAAGATATTTAGAAGTAAATGCGATTTTATATTTTTTAAGATGGCCAACCTGAGAACAATACTACATCTTTTATTGTTGAAATAGAAATCAAAAATCAATAAAGAGGGGTTTAAATGCAGGTAAATCTCCATGAAAAGCATTATTATAGACCAGAAATTTTATGGACTGCCCTGGTATTTGTTATCTCGTTTAGTCATTGGTGCACAATGGCAAAACAGTCATAAATTACCCCCTACCCAAGGTTCATCTAACAGGATTGAACTTGGGAGAAAGTCATCATTATGTCCATACTCTATCACTGGGACACCCTACCATGTGATGTTATAAGTGACCTTATAAAAATCTGTAAAACACACATACACACACATATATATATACAATCCTCTCAAGCCTACTGACTAAGATCAAGTGTAGTATCTGATATAATATCTGTTTTTAACAGATCAATAAGTAAGTTCTCCTGGTCCTCTTATCTTGAATAAAGTGTAGTATCTGATATAATATCTATTTTTAATAGATCAATAAGTAAGGTCTCCTGGTCCTCTTATCTTAGATAAATATATATATGATTAGTACATTGAGCTACAAAACCTTGAAGTTGTCATGGAGCATTCTGATAATAATGATTAGACCAGCATGGAACTACGGGTGAGTTATCACCAAAGCCCAAACCAGAATGCCATGGCACAGCTGTCCAAATTGACATGTTAAATATGAGAAAACTGGCCATGAGGACCAGCCAGGGGTGCTAAGATTGGGGGTCATCACACCTTTGATTATTAATATTTAGAGGCAAAGTCATTATTTTTTGATATCTTTATTTGAACTTAAGCGGGGAATAAGGAAATGGAGTGACAGCAGTACCTGTTGGGTAGCGCTGCCTAAAAACTTGCTGTGGAAAACTGTAATTTATGCAAAACTACTGACAGGAATAAAATTAAAACAATCTGTTTGATTGTGTTACAAGGCCTATTTGCAATAAACTATGATCTGTCCTGATCAGCTAAATTCATTTTTAGCTGGTCTCTTGAAATTAATTTTTCATTGCACACTTGAATTTTGCGGTGTTGGCAACATTTTGGCAACTGGAAGGTAGTGCCCAGGGCCAGACTACACAAGTCTGAGCCCAGTTGGCGTGGAAGGGATTGACCACCCCTGTACCTGTTGGGGATGGATGTGGCTTAGATGCAATGGAAGAATCTCAGTAGTTTTAGATTGTTTTGCACAATTTTGCCACCTCTTGGCAAACCCTCCAATTATTTTCCACCTTCTCAGCGGAGGATAATGTGAGGAGGGGGACTGCAACCTCAGGTGGTATGATGTGACCCACCTATCATCCACCACATGGGTCAAATCGCCATTGAGATGAAAGGTACAGGTGATGGCTTCCACTCCTTATTTAACAGAACAGAAATTGATCCCTATCCAGGTAGAGGGGTTCCTTCCCACCACTTACAGAAGTACTAATGCTGAAGTTCTTTACTTCAATTAGTCTGGTTCTTCTTCTTAGATAAAGTGGATTTTTGAGCGCCTATTGTATGAAGACAATCGACCAGATGGTGACAGTATATAAAATATAAACTCCTAAGATATAGCACTTCAAGGCTTTACCCTCCTGTTGTTTACACATGTGATGGCTCACTGCCCTGATCTTACTTATCCCAAGTGATTCCTCAACTACTTACAACAGAAAAGTATTAAATGCAAATAGCTTGTATATTAGACTATTAAATTATGGTGCTAAAATATTGTCTTTTATTTGTATGAATTATGAGAAAATTTATAGAGTTTGATGTTAATCACGCAATAACCATGATACCTCGCCTCTCATTGCCACTTAGCTTGAGGATCACAATGATTACTTCAGTGGGTCTATGAACTATGAGGCTCTGCAGTATGTCATGGAAACGGCAGAAGCAGTTTAGACCAGCCTGCCAGTTGGGACGCATAAGCATTCAGAAAGCAAGCCAGAATGCCAGACATTGCTGACTGTATGATTTGATATGGAGCTGGGAAATAGGATATCACAAAATGGTGGCAAAATGTCAGGGTTAGGAGTATCCTGACGGCAAACCACACTGAATAGACTTCAGATCCAGGGGTTCTAGTAATGGGGTAGAAACTACTGGGATAGTTTCTGCGAGATTCTTGGTTATTAAAACCATTTCATCAGGGGTGGTAGAGAGGCGAATTTTCTCTTGTAGTTGGCAGACATAGGGCCATAAGATCCCTGTATAATGCTGCTGGAAGGTCATTAGAACAGGGTTGTGGAGCCAAAAATTTCGGACTTGTTGAGCCCAATTGGCAATAGAGGGAACCATGATAACCAAGAGAATTGGTAAGGCCCACCTAGAGTGTGGAGTGGCGGACCACCAGGGAAATGTCATACGAGATATGGTCAAAAGGAAGGAGATAAAAATTTGGGATCTTAATAAAATTTTTATTAGGGGAAATAAAGTAAGAAAATCAACCAACAATTTTCTCAGTGCCTTGCAACTGATTAAATAGTGGTCAATTGGGCTGTGATATGACGTGGTCAGGATCCACAAATTCAGCATTACTGGTGAATTGGATGGTAGTAGGGGTTTATTCTTTGGGAACTGACATCGCAAAATTTGGCGGTGGGCCAAGTCTCTGTCAGTTTGACCTCAAACGTCTGGACCAGGGTTCAATTACATTTCTGATGGTTAGCATGACAGCATTTGGCCCAGCAAGCGATGGGAATCCCCCAAGGCCATCCCATATAGGGATGGGACCATTTGGTTGGGTATGGATTTGGGATAACCAACCCACCCGCGCTCAGTCATCTAACCATTTGTTCAGTCAATAGTAGCCCATCGGGCACAATGCCCAAATTACTATCAGAGGGCTTTGAACTTTCATCAATGGCGCCCAATATTTGTTTTACTGATTTAGGAGTCAAGTTTAAATTGTCGGGCGATCCAGCCAATATCTCATTCTTCATGCTTTTACAGCCATTCAAATTTCAGCCATCAGCCAGATTGCTGCCCAAATTAGATCTGACCAATTTCAGTTTGATAATATTAGCACAGATTTCACTAATTCCCCGCAACAGTTCTGCTGAGGTGAGTGAGGGAATCAGGGGTGGGATCCAAAGTGGACAGGCTGTCACCCATTGCTCGTCAACTACATGGGTGAGATCACCCTGGGTGATGAGGGGTACCACCATCCTCTTCGGGCTTTTCTTATTCAGGAATGGAAAGTAGCTCAATCAAGAGCCAAAGGACACTCCCTGAGACTTACATTACCCTTTACTTTTTCCAAAGGAATAGCCCCCCACCGGATTACTGCACCAGAGCCACGTTCTTATGCACTTTGGGTAACCTGATAGCCATAATTGACATGACCTTCTGAAGTGGGTGGGGAGCCTTGGGGTGGGATGTGTGGAAAGCGTCAACCA